CCTTAATCTGCCAGAGCAGCCCCAAAACAGTTCTACACATGATTTATTTCACGCTTCTAAGACTGGATAATGTGAAAGGCATGCATACATACATACATACATACATACATGCATGCATGCATGCATGCATGCATGCATGCAACTTCATCTACAAAACGTCTTGAAGGAATTTCATAGCAGACAAACAGACTTCCTCAATTTTCACTGATTCTTCTTGTAATGAATATTTCAGAACAGGGAATAGTTCTGTTAGATCACTGTGTGTCAATGGAATTAGGACAGAAATATACATTTTGTTTGTGATTATCAAATCCATTGGTCTAGTCACTATCCGGTAGACATTTTCTCAAATTTCCTCCATCATTCTTTGAGTTACTTACTGTTTCATAGTGCCAGATTGAAGAGCTAGTGAGTCCTCTGAGTCATGTCAACAATGATATTCAAAAATGTATTAAGAGAAGAATAAAATCAGTAAGTTGTGGAACCTGATATTACTTGGGGCAGCCATTAAAGTCTTGCTGGAGCACAGAAAATCTATTTGAGCAACAAGATAAGTAATATACCAACATAGCCTTTGTTTTGACCAAGCCATCATTTCTGGACTTTTCTGGAGCTACCTCAGGGTTGGGTCTAATTAATCTTTTGATGGGGGGGGGATAGACTGAGTTAAAAAAAATCTCAGAAGTTAGTAATAAATCACTTCTGTATTCATCCTAGAAAATGACATGGATACATGACAATGAAATCAGCAGGAATCAAGTTATCTTGAGACCTTATCTCTTTAATCTGCAGTGAAGGATTGCCATCAACAGCTGTAGAACCAGCAGTAGGGAAAGTGAACATTGTCTTCTCCAGTAATACATTATCTGCCTTCACCATTCTACTTCTACCCATTGGCTTAGTAGAGTCTGTCCTCTAAGGATCTTTTCATTCTTATCTCTAGAGAAGGACAAAATAAACAAGAACAAAATAACAAAGCAAGACTAATCCAAAATAAAACAAAACAAAACCTAACCATGGACTAATATTTCCAGCCTTAATACATGGAACAAATAATTTCTTCACTGATTTTTGGATTAATAAAAATATTAGGAAAACATTAGCTTTTTGTTAAAGGGAAAGAGACACATACAGTTTAAGTTCAAATGAGACTTAATTTTTAAAAATAGGATTGTGATTAGGTGTCTTTTTTTGAACCAATTATTATTTATTATTAATTACATTTATATCCCGCCCTTCTCCTTGCGGACTCAGGGCGGCTAACAATTGGATAAAATACAGACATATAATACACCTATTAAAATGGATTAAAAAGAAATATTTAAACTCATCAGATTAAAAGTAATTAAAACCCCTTTAAAATCCCTTAGGCCAGTCCCGCAAGCTGGAACAACCACGTCTTGAGGGCGCGGCGGAAGGAAGGGAGATCAGGGATCACCCTGATCTCTGGGGGCAGTTCGTTCCAGAGGGTGGGAGCTCCCACAGAGAAGGCCCTCCCCCTTGG